ACGCTCACACGCGGTGGCGAGCGCCCCCTCCTGGCCATGCTGTGGAACCAGTTAAATTCCGAGTTCAGAGTATTTAGTGCCAGTCTGGAAATGCAAAGTGAGATGGGGCTTTTCACCCTGTGTCTTTTAGAAGAAGAGTGAGGGAGGGAAGAATTAAGTGGAAAATATATGTAATGAAATAAGTGTAGACATAAACTTCACAGCTTCCACAAAAAATTCACTCAAAATAGTCCTCAGACTTAAAATGCAAAACTATAAACATTCTAGAAAAAATCCTAGGGGACCTTGGATTTGGTGTGACACACCAAAAACTGATCCACAGTAAAAAAGTAATTTCCTTGATGTTATAATATTAAAAATGTGTACTCTGTGAAAGACCATGTTCACAGAATAAAAACACAAGCATCAGGCTTATAGGAACTATTTGGAAAATACATATCTAGAGAAAGATTTATATTGAAAATATACTAAGAACATTTAAAAATCAATAAGACAAATATACCAATTAAAACCGAGTTAAGATCTGAACAGATACCTCAACAAAGATACACAGATGGCAAATGATCATACAAAAAGATGTTCAACTTCATATATCATTAGGGAATAGCACATTACAAGAAAAAGGAGCACGGTACACCTTTTAAAATTGCTAAACTCTAAAAACATGTCAACCCATTGCTGAAGGAAAACACGAGACCTCTCATTCATTGCTGTAGAATGTATAATGGTACAGTCCCGTTGGAAGACAATGTAGGAGACCAGAATATGCCACCCCAAAATATGACTGTAGAAGACCACAGTAGACCACCCCAAAATATACCTCTTGTTTTTGGAGATAGGGTCTTGTGCAGTCACCCAGGCTGGAGTGCAGTGGCACGATCACAACTCACTGCCACCTTGAACTCCCAGGCTGGAGCAATCCTCAGCCTCCCAAGTAGCTGGGACTACAGGCATGCGCCATCACACTCAACTAATTTTTTTTTTTTTTTTTTGTACAGACAGGTTCTTGCTGGCGCAGGTTCTAGGCCCAGGCTAGTCTTGAACTCCTGGCCTCAAGGGAGACTACTGCCTTGGCCTCCAAAAGTGTTGAGATTTCAGGCATGAGCCACTATGCCCAACCCAGCACTGGGATTATTTTGAGCTGATTATTTTAAGAAACTGCAGACACAGAAGAAGCTCTCAAAACAGGGTAAAAGTTACCTTTTTGTAAGGGAAATTTACATCTATAAAGGAAACCTACCTCCATTTGTAAAGGTGTTTCCCTCTCATACCAAGAAGACAAGGATGACTAAATCATGAGAGATTCTTATCAACGGACAAGGTACCACTAAAGTGTGGACAAATCTCACTCTCATTTACTTTGCTTGTCCTGATTCTCTCCCCACTACGACCCCCCAACAACACCCATTCTTTCTTTGTTGCACGTGAAGATAGTAGGTAAACCTGAATATAAAGCCACCTCTTGGAGATTTACACATTTTTCCTGGGTATTTCCCATGCATACATAAATAAAATTTTAATTGTACTTGTTAAAGCATGGCAATAGAAAAAAAACCAAGATTCTTGATATAAATGAAAACATTGAGTGTTTATAATATTACAGAGATCCAGAACAAAAGAAAAAGAGGGAGTATATTAGAACACTTTGGTCACAAGTGCTAGATTATACTTATACTAAATTAAGCATAAAAACATACTAACTTAAGAATTAGAAACGTATACTAAATTAAGCATAAAAAAGAATTTATAGGAAGGATATTTGGCTTTGTTGCAGAATCAAGCAGCTACAATTACTCATGCAGCTTCCAAGATCTTAGAGATTGGAATTGGAGACTGGATGCCACAAAGTACTCTTCTTACCTTCTCTCTTCTCTTCTCTCCTCCCCTGCCCTCCCCTCCCCTTCTCTCCTCCCCTGCCCTCCCCTCCCCTTCTCTCCTCTCTGTCTCTCTCTTTCTCAACTTTGGCTTCAAACTCTCCCATAGCAAACAGAATTTTGCCCCATAGCGGTGGGGGGGGGGACGGATGCCAGAAATCCTGTTATCACATTTTCACAGCTCAAAAACAATGAGATGAAAAAAATCCCCTTCCTCTGTTGATTGCAGTTAAAAGAATCCTGGGGAAAGACTCTGACTGCCACCACTTAGGGTTCATGCGCAGTCTGGACCAATCACTGGGTCCAGAGGAACTAGATACTAAGATAGTCTGAGCCTGTGTCGTGTGCCCATCCCATGAGCAGGATGTTCTGGGTATGTTACAAGAATGAAGCTTGTTGATTAGTATCCTAAGAACTCTCCCAATTGAAATGACTATAAAAGCTAAATGATACATAACAACCACCATGTTAAATTAGTTACTGAGGTGACAATAAAGTAAGATATCTATGGAAGCCAAACATAAAGTATTGATAAAGGAAGTCTCAACCCCCACTCATCCATATAAGAATGTGACTGGGCTGGGACACTTCCTCACCAAGAGACACAGCCCACACAGCCTATGCCAGGCATATCGCTTTGTGTGGGAATATCTTTTGCTGTCTCAAGTTCAATGTATGTTCTTTTATTCTGTTTAAGCATGTATGTCAGACATAGCTCCAGCTTTCAGTGTTTCAGAGTCCATTGGGGAGGGGCTCTTCCACTACAGCACAGGAGGGGCACATGTAGGTCAATTGCCCTGCGTTGGCTGCTGGGGAACCTGCTAGCCATGGGAACAAATGCACACTTTTTTCCCAAACTATTACTGGGTTACAAACGTTTTGGTTACAGGAATTACTTTTGTACAGTTTGCATCAAAGTTGTAAGTGTGTCCATCACCCAGATAGTGTGCATTGTACTCATTAGGTGTGAATTTACCCATTACTTCCTCCACGCTCCTAACTGCTTGATTTCCTTTGGGTTTTACTACCCTACGTGTACATGAGTGTTGATCATTTAGTTCCAATTTAATAGTGAGTATATGTGGTGTTTGTTTTTCCATTCTTGTGATACTCCACTTAGAAGGACTATCTCCAGTTCCGTCCAGGTTGTTGCAAAGGCTCACCAATTTTTATGGCTGAGTAATATTCCATGGTATCCATACATATAGCACATTTTATTAATCCACTCATGAACTGATGGGCACTTGGGCTGTTCCCACATCTTTGCAATTGAGAGTTGCAATGCACACTATTGGAGCTGTCTTGCTCTGTCTCTTCTTTATGTGAGTAAAAGAGTTCCATCCAGTGCCTATGTTGTATTGTCCTAGGCGACTGCAATACCAAGTTGCAGTGGGCAGAATTGTTTGAACCTCTATTCCTGGTGGCCTGCATTGTGATAAGCTTCGCTATCCTCCACGTAGTTGGTGTCCTCCCCTGGCATTGGTAACCGGTGCATGGTGTTCTACTCCACACAAAGTGAAAGAAGGAAGCCTGGACAGTGATTTAGCTGAAAGAATCTGTCCAATCCTGGTGATCTAGAGCTTCAAGGTTTATCTTCAAACAAGCAGAGGTATAGAGAAATAAGAACTGTAGGAACCCCGGCTAGAAGTATCAGAGCTGTTATCAAACCTGGCTAAAACAGACAAGGGGAGAGAAAGGGTACTAGAACCCCAAAGGAGAAAGAGTCATATAAGCAAGGATATTAGTTGAGGAAAACAGCCCTTCCAGAGAAGAGTCCAGGAGAATAATTAGCCTAACCTCACATTTTTTCTCTTATTCGCAGCTGGGTGTTGGTCAAATCCTACTGGAAGCCGGAGGGCTTGGGAAGCCTGTTTAATTAATCATACCATAACAGAGGCCTAAAAAAGGGTAAAATGTTTTACAAGCTATCTCTTTAAAACACCACCCCCCTCTCTCTCCCTCCCTCTCTCTCTTTTTGGGAATTAAAGCCTATGTCCCTGCCAGAGGCCAGTAATCAGAAGGGCAGGGGAGTATTCTTTATTTTCATGTGCCACAAGAGATAGCTCAATGGAACTGTCCAGGTGGAGGTCATGAGATTATCTTTGCCAGAGATGAGATAGATCAGCACCATCAACTATGGCTAAACCACAACAGCCCAAAACGGAAAACCTTCCCTTTAAAATCTCTGTATTTCTGCTTACACAGAGGATGTTGGTACTTGAAGACAAGAGTATGCCAACCTCCTCATTTGCCATCAAATTAATAAACCTTCCTTTCCTTCTCCTCAAATCACTTGTCCTTGTTCTAATATGTCCTTGGAGACAAGTAGCAAACTTTTGATAACAATACTATGGATAAATATCCTAAGACAGAGTACAAGGTGGATCTGTGGGAGAAAACAGAAGACATTGGGGGGTGTACATCTATACATACACACACACACACATATATGTATGTGTATATACATAGTATATATATACATGCACATGCCTAAATGATGCATAATATTGTCAGCGTAGAACATATAGAGTTAGTTAATCAGTTTTCTTCTCAGTCTCATTGCCCATAGAAACTTATTCAATACATCCTTTAAGTACTCTGTAGACTTGTTTGTGTGCCAATCTGGGCAGATAAACTCTTAGCTCTGAAACCCAAGATAATTATAATCATGCCATGCCATTAAACCTCTAAGAACATGGCACCCACACTGCAGCTGACAGCTGTAAGGCGCAGGTCCAGCGCAGGCCAGTGGACATCTGTCAAACCTCCTGACCTGATGCAAAGAGTTGCTTAGTGTCGCCAAGGTAGAGGCATTTCCCAAAAGTCTGGGAAGAAGATCGAGTATTTTAACCTTTGGTTTTCCATTTCTTGCAGACAGAACAAAGGTAAATCCTGAACTCTTTTATCTCCCTGCAAATGTCCTACAGTCTTCACAAAATATTCAGAGACTTGAGATTCATAAGGATCTAGGACTACATGTGCCCTTTGGCCCTCCAGCAGAAATTTCCTGACTTCCTAAGCCCAGAATCTCTTCCTGACGGACAGATGACTTCTTCACCATTATTGCACCATATCACCATTATTGCACGCATAATCGAACAGAGAACTGCTGACTTATGCATTATGTATCAGCCAAAGTCCACCTGGAAGACAGAAACCACATAGCCATTTGGATAGAGACCATTTTATGTAGAGAATTACTAACTGGAACAAAGCAGTGGAGTAATACCAGATTGCTTAGTAACAACTAAAGAGTACTTGAACATATACAGCAATAGCAGATAAAAGGAGTATCCATTATTTTCAGGGCTGAGATAAAGTGCTCCAGGAAGAGACCCTAGGACTGAAATCCCAACTCCCTAGAGATGGCACAGCTGTGACTCACAGAATGGCAGAGAAGTCGCTATAGTGTTGCACAGGCAGAACATTCTGGCAATTTACCCTCTAGGGTGCCAGAGAAAGCTGTTCATGGGGAAGCCTCTCACTGGAGGCTCTCCACTACAAAACCATCCCACAGGGTGCTGAGAGAACTTCTAGCCACTGCATGTGCTGACCATTGTATCTCCCGGCGGCCATTCTCTGGAGAAGCCGTCACGCTGCAGAAACGCCGGCAGTCTGGTGCTGTGGCAGCAGCGTGTGCTGCAGGAGCCAGTCCTTTGGAAGGAGAAAGCAGGCTTTTTTCGGGGCATTTTTTTGTCTGGGCTCATTGGGGTTTCCCAATATCCAGATCAGGATAATTGAGGCAAAGAGAAATCCCAGAAAGCTCACCACCATGCTATTCTTCACGTCCCTATTCCCTAGTCAGGCTTCCCTCTTTCCACAGTTAAGACTCTTCTTATGTCTGTTTCATACATAATGTCCAGGGTTTTCAGCTGTACTTAGCAAGAAGAATAGAGACAAAGAAGAAATGTGCCTACTCCATTTGCCTGGAACTGAAAGTCTACCTTTGCATTTAAAACTATTTTTCTTTTTTCTACCCAGTGCTTTTCTGGCTCTTAAATAAATGTATTGGGACATTATTCTCTGTTATGCAAAGCATATTTCTGTCCTGGCACCTACATTACATATTTTTCTCCCACCAACCTTTTTCTTCCTGCTTCCTTTCTTCCCATTGTTCATGTCCTCCTTTCTATCTCTGCTCTTTTTGATCCTTCCTCCCTTCTCCTTTCTTGGCATGATGTAATCTATTATGAATCTACTATGTAAAAAGTAATTCAACAGCAGATTAGTCATTGATATCATTTCCAATGAGATCACCCCCATGTATATTTTTGAATTTAAAATATAAAAATGACAAACAAATTTTGTAGTTTCCAAACAAAATTATCTAAGCACCTAAAGTTTTGGCAATAAACTCCAACAGTTTCCATCATCAGAAATAATTTTATTATTTATTTTAAAGCAACTCAGTGTAACTAGTAGCAAAATGGTACATAGTGAACAGAACCAATTCCCATAGGGCTACAAGGACTATTATTGACTTTATGTTTTATTTTCATGTGCAAGTATAATTACTTTAAAAAGGCAACAGTTCATTAAAAGTCTTTATTAAGCATTTTTTTATTCTTTAAATATCAGATAGACTAATAAACTATCATTATTATAGCAAGCTGATATGAATTGTGTCAAATATTAAATTTGGACTAATCTTCATAGTCAAAAATAATTATTTGAAATTTTATGAAACAAATTCTTAGTTATATAGGAAATATAATTATATCCTACCTTAAAATCGTAGTCTTCACACTGTCACAAAAATACTAAAGTTCAGATCATGTGGGGAAATAAAATATTTGTAAATCTTATGTTTATTCCTAAAAATAATTGCAATGGAGTAAAAAAAAAAAAGTCAATTCAAAGATACATTATACGTGACTACAGATGTATAACTATGAAACATTAAATTCATTATTTTTCTCCTTTACATATATTAGTTCAATTCTGCCTTCAGTTTTAACAATTTATATGTGAAAATTAGTTTGCCAAATATATTTCACATTTATAACATATACATACATATATATATATATATATATATATGCATACAATCTTTGAGTTTTAAGGCAACCTCCCAATTTTAAGTGACTTGTTATAAACTCTACTTCTCTGATCAAAGACAGGTTCTCTCTGTTTTAGGGAAACTTTTGGTGTTCTTGTAAATCTAAAATGTGGATAATGTACAATACTAAAAAAAGACATTTCATATTTCATAAGCCAAATTATAATGGCTATAATCTTGTGGTTTCATATTTTATGCTTTACACTTTTATTTCTGTGGAATTATTGAGAGAATATTAGGCTACCTTTATCTTTTCTAAAAAATTTCTATTTTCCTTTCAATTGATCCGCTTCATTATAAGAATAAAATGTCCCTTTCTAGTCCTATATGTCTTATGTATTGTTCAATTAAAACTCAATGTCAAATTCAGTAACAAATACAAAATTAGAAGACAAATATCTTTTTAAATTTGTCAATGGATCATCCATATGAATATCTTACCATACTTCAACTACCTGTATGATACATACATACAATACCTATGTATTCACTTGTGCTTCTTGGTCTATTTCTGTAGGGAAAAAAAGCAATACAGCATTGGTGTCACCAAGGACCAATTTATATTTAAATGTATAACCTTCAAATTCTTCAAGATTTATATTAAATTTAAAAGATAATTAAGTCTTTTTGTCTTTTGCTTTTCCCTTATAATGTTAAAATATAGTTCCTAAATGATTTCTCAAACTTAAAGCATAGTTTTCACACACCATTTTTTGAATGTGATTATTTCAGTACTAAAGACATAAGGAGGACTTTTAACTTTCTGAAGTGTCTTTGTAGTCCATAAAAGGTATAAATTTTCTTTTGTCAATTTTGAAGTATTTTTCTAATGAAATTACTATATAGATAGATGAAAAATGTTAAAGCTCAAGAGTCTAATGAAAATTACTTCACATTTGAATAAATCCAGTTAATGTTTCAGTTCTTGGATTAAATTTAAGTCAACAAATGTGTATTAAGTATTTTCTGTATGCTAGGCATTCTTTTAGGAGAACAATAGATACTTGCTTTTTGGTACACTTTTCTTGGCCTAAAATGTGTGCTAGACATAAAGCTACTAAAAGTCCAGGTACTTAATATTCTTTTTTGTTTATATATTAGTTTTTTCAGTGTAACAAAACATGCTATGAACGTCTCAAATCCTAATGAATACGACATCATAGAAAGGCAGAGAAAAAAGGTTAAAATGACTTACTGATTGATATTCTAATGCAAACTATGATTCTTACAGAAACGTCAGCCATACAAGTTTGTTGGCCAATCTTTATGTAGAGAAGACTAGACAGTTAGGATGAGCTCAATTTTATAAAACAGCTCTTTTAAAAAACATAATATGACATTTAATTTTGAAGGGGAGAATCTATCTTCTATGTCCATTGTGATGCACCAAATATAGGTTTTGTCTGTTTTCATAAAACATTAATAATTTTAAATATTGGCTTCATACAGTTTGGCTTAATGTAAAACAAATATTGCATTTAAATTTTTATGCTTTAATTTAGGATTTCAAAATCACTCCTTTTATATCTTTTAATAGTGGGAGTACCAATAAGTAGCACATTAAGTTTCAAAATGATCTCTCTAAGAGAATAGATTATGTATTTAAATATGAGAGAATTGAATATATTCCAATCTAGTTTCTTTCATGCCAGCAACACTTTTGTTTCAAGCAAGATCCTTGTAGGAAAAAAAATTAGTCTCTTATTTCCTTCTTATCAAAGTTGAGTTTCCTCGCGAGAGTCTTGACCGGAAGCATTACAGATGCTGTTTCTTCTACTAGGTTCACTGTTTGGAAGGTATGCCAGTGGATCTGGTCGAATTAAATATCTAGTAAAAGAAAACAAAGCAAATAACTTTCTAATAGTAAATAAAGACAATCTTAATTCACACGCTTTAGATTTTTACTTTAAAACTAGTTCAGTCTATAGACTATTTAAAGTGTGTCTGTATATAACATTGGTGGAAGGACTCATTGTTCAGTTGGCATATAAAATTGCAGGGTTTATATTATTATTTCCATACTTGAGAAGCTTATGATGATGAATGCTGATGAATCAAGCTTCATTATTTTTCAGTTGTGATCTATTTCAGCACCTTCATCTTATCAAAGTTTTATGATTTTAGTATTTTGTAGCTTTATCATTTCTTACTTTGGCCATTTTTCTATTAGAGAGAACTACATTTTAGCCATGATTTTTCCATTACTTAAATGTTCTTAATCTTATTTTTATCATTCATAAAATTATAAATTTGATGTAAGTAACCTATTTGATGTAAGTAACCTTCTAGTCTTTTTAATTTAAATATTTTATGACTTTATGAAATTAATAATTTAATAAATGTTACGGTGAATATTATGCATAGATAATGTTTTAATTAGCTGGAAAATGATTCATTTAAAGTTCAGGTCGGTTATGGTATAGTAAGTGATAACACTGAAGTATAAAAATTAATTCTTAATTATACTAGTAGATAGAGAAATATTCATCTGCCAAACTCAAATAATTCATTAATGTTAGAATTTGTTTTAAGAGAGAATTTTTGAGCACTGTGGTGTGTGCCTTCAATCCCAGCAAGTCATGAGGCTGAAGTGGGAGGATCGCTTGAGCCCAGGAGTGTAAGACCAGCTCAAGTAACGCCATAATAAAAGTAAATAAAAAAACAAGAGAGAAACTTTACTTCTGACTGTCAAATGATGTCTGGTAGTTTCACTGTGTTTCACTTTATTGTGCTTCACAGATAATTGTGTTTTTTAATAAATGGAAGGGTTGTGGCGCCCACGCATTGAGCAAGTTTATCAGCACCGTTTTTCCAATAGCATGTGCTCATTGTGTGTTTCACAAAGTCACATTTTGGTGATTCCTGAAGTATTTTTAACTTTTTATTTATTATCGTATCTGTAAGGGTGATCTGTGATCAGTGATCTCTGGTGTTACGATCACAATTGTTTTGGGGTGCCACTTATTGAACCCATGTGAGATGGCAAACTTAAATGATAAATGTGTATGTTCTGACTGCTCCACAGACTGGCTTTTCCCCTGTCTCTCTCTTTCTCCTTGAGCTTCCCTATTCTCTGAGACACAACAATATTGAATTAGGCCCATTAATAACCAACCCTATAGTGTCTCTAAGTGTTCAAATGAAAGGAAGAGTTGCATGTCTCTCACATCAAATCAAAAACTAAAAGTGATTAAGCATGTTAAAAGCCAAGATAGATCAGAAACTAGGTCTCTTGTGCTAGTTAGCCAAGTTGTTAATGCAAAGGAAAAGTTCTGAAGGAAATTAAAAGTGCTAGGTAAGTACACACTCAAATGATAAGAAAGTGAAACAATGTTATTACTGATACAAAGAAAGTTATAGTGGTCTGGATAGAACATCAAACCAGCCACAACATTCCCTTAAACCAAAACCTAATCCAGAGCAAGATCCTAATTCTCTTCAATTCTGTGAAGACTGAGACAGATGAGGAAGCTGTGGAAGAAAAGCAGCAAGCTAGCAGAGGTTAGTTAATAAGGATTAATGAAAGAAGTCATTTCCATAACATAAAAATGCAAAGTGAAGCAGCAAGTACTGATACAGAAACTGCAGCAAGTTATCCAGATAATTTAGCTAAGATCATTGATGAAGGCAGCTACAGTAAGCAACAGATTTCCAAAGTAGATTAAACAGACTTCTATTGGAAGAAGATGTCATCTAGGACTTTCATAGCTAGAGAGAAGTCAATGTCTGCCTTCAAAGGACAGGCCGATTCTTTTGGTAGAGGTTCATGTAGCTGGTGACTTTTAGCTGAAGCTTAAACCTGAATGGGAAATGAGTATTTACCATTCAGAAAATCCTATAGTTTTTAAGAATCCATGTTAAATCTACTCTGCCTGTGCTCTATCAGTGGAACAACAAAGTCTAGATGAAAGTACATCTGTTTATAGTATGGTTTACTGAATATTTTAGGATCATTCTTGAGAACTGCTAGGGGATAAAAAGATTCTTTCAAAATGTTACTACTCATTGGCAACGTACCTGGTCACCCAAGAGCTTTAATGGAGCTGTACAAGGAGATAGATGAACGTTGTTATCGTGCCTGCTAACACAAAATCCATTCTGCAGCCTATGGATCAAGGAGTAATTTCCACTTTCAAGCCTTATTATTTAAGAAATACATTTGTAAGGCTGTAACTTTCATAGATAGTGATTCCTCTGATGGATATTAGCAAAGTAAACTGAAAACTATCTGGAAAGGATTCACCATTCTAGATGCCATTAAAAGCATTTGTAATTCATGGGAGGTCAAAATATCAACATTAGCAGGAGTTTAGAAGAAGCTGATTCCAACACTCATGGATGACTTTGAGGGGTTCAAGAGTTCAGTGGAGGAAGTAACTCCAGATGGGGTGAAATAACTATGGAACTTGAGTTAGAATTGGAGCCTGAAGATATGACTAAATTGTTGCAATCTCATTATAAAACTTGAATAGATGAGGAGTTGCTTCTTATGGATGAACAAAGAAAGTAGTTTCTTCACATGTAATCTACTCCCAGTGAAGATGCTGTGAATGTTGTTGAAATGACAACAAAGGGTTTACAATATTACATAAACTTAGTTTATAAAGCAGCAGCTAGGTTTGAGAGGACTGACTCAAATTTTGAAAGAAATTCTACTATGGGTAAAATGCTATCAAACAGCATTGCACACTTCAAAAAAATCTTTCATGAAAGGAAGAGTCAATCAATGTGACAAACTTCACTGTTTTCTTATTTAAGAGATTTCCAGAGCTGGGTGCAGAGGCTCATACCTGTAAACCTACCACTCTGGGAGACTGAGGTGGGCGGATCGCTCACTCTCAGGAGTTCAAAACCAGCCTGAGCAAGAGCGAGACCCCATCTCTACTAAAAATAGAAATTAATTGGCCAACTAAAAATATATAGAAAAAATTAGCCAGGTGTGGTGGTGCATGCCTGTAATCCCAGCTACTCAGGAGGCTGAGGCAGAAGGATCGCTTGAGCCCAGGAGTTTGAGGTTGCTGTGAGCTAGGCTGATGCCACGGCACTCTAGCCCGGGCAACAAAGTGAGACTTGATCTCCAAAAAAGAAAAAAAAAAAAAAGGATTTCTACAGCCACCCCAACCTTCAGCAGTCACCACCTTGATCACAAACCAGCCATCAATAATGAAGCAAGATCCTCCGTCAACAAAAAGATTACAAGTCCCTGAAGGCTCAGATGATTGCAATAATGTACTTTTTAAATAAGATATGTACATTGTCTTTTTAGATGTAATGCTATTGTACATTTGTAGATGACGGTATATTATAAAAGTAACTTTCATATGTACTGGGAAGCCAAAAAATTCATGTGATTCACTTCACTGCAATATTTACTATATTGTGGTGATCTGGAACTGAACCTGCAGTCCTGACGAGGTAAGCCTGTGTATCTGCAGCACCCACTTCTTGAGCACCTGCAGGACACTGTGCACACCTGGGAATACAAAAAATCACAATACCTGACCCACAATCTGCAGAAGATTAGAGTACAATTTATGAAGCAGATATAAAGAAAAAGACATTCCAAAAGTTACAGAAAGAAAAAAAAAAAAAAAAGAACCACAGAGAGAATTAGAGAATGCTTTATTGAGGGAGCTGGGATGAACTTATCTCTCCAGGCTTGAGAGTAGAGAAGCAGGAGGTGATCCCAGACTTGGACAATTGGGGGCACAGCAGAGAGATGTTCCTGACATGATTGGAAATGAGTTTAACTTTAGAAGACTGTTTAGAACAGAAAATAGAGATAGGTAAAGCAAGAAACAAAGGTAACAAACAGGTAATGAAGGACCTTAAGTTCCAGGATTAGTAGTTTCCATTTCTGCTCCAAAGGTGGTGGGAAGCCACTGAAGGTTTGAAGGGGAGAGAAGGAAAGTAAATATATGCAATGCAGCATTCTAACAAAGTCTTGTTACAGGTGCAAATGAAAGTAGTATTTCATACTTCTATAATAATTTTAGGAGGAAGTACATAAAATGAATGGAAAAAGTAATTTAAGGGTGAAAACTCTAATACTGTACTTTTCCTCTTAAAAACTAAAGAGAAACTAGGAAGAAATAGAATTCCTGAACAGACCAATATCAAGAACTGAAATTGAAACAGCAATAAAAAGCCTTCTTTAGAAGAAAAATACTAAAGGGAAACTAATCATTAAATATTATAATATTTCAATATTACATAATGAAAATAAGAAAAGGCAATTACAAACACTATAGTCTATTTTCTTTGATCAAATAAAGGCTGAGATTAGTGTCCTTGGCTCTATTAACTGGATTTCGTTATCTACACACACTGCTTTATAATTACTTTAAATATTAATATCATTGTAGATCTATGAGGAAAACTTAATAGTGCACATAAAGCTTTTTAATACCATATCATCTAGTGATTTATTGCTCTTTGAATCAAATTAATGTTTCTGCTTTATTTAAAATGGACTTTTGAAAGTAAATTTTTAGAAAAACATAAAAGGTACCAGTATAGTCCATTATCCCCTAAATTAATTGATGCAGTGGCAAAAGTTCTGTTCCTTAATATTGTTACTACTAAACCTATGTGTCCAATAAAGCAAATTTTTTCAACTGTGTTTTTATATACTACTTGTCATGATAGGCTTTTTTCCATGATAATTTATCATTACTCCAGCTCTACTGAAATTTAATTACTTCAATGCCACAAATACAGATCAATATAATGATGTGATTAAAACCTTTTTATTTTTTAATAGCAGTCAAGCTGATGTTTTAGCTTAAAATTAATAAAAAATAAGAGTATCCAAAAAGCAGAAAATTCTCTGAAAATCTATTTTACCTATACACATTATAATAACATATTTCATTCATAAGTTTAAAAGACTGAAAATTATTTGAAATTGTAAACACATATGTGATGGAAGGACATACTCACCGACTCAAAAGGTTAACAAGATTTTGAACCTTTTGTCAAAAAATAGTTATGGGAAATAATTTTGGTAGGTTCAAGAAACATATAAGATAAAAATAAGGTAAGCATAACTGAACAAATTCTATATAATTAATGCAATTATAATTATTTGAAAAAGAGGTATAAGAAGACTGGATTAATAGGGGTAGATTGGAGAATTAATAAAAATTGCTTGAATTTATGGGTCTAGAGGAGAGATGACATGTGTAAATATAGATGCTAGGGAAAAAATAGCTTTGTTTTATTATAATAATACACTACATGAAGGCTCCATGATGGGAAATTAGAAACCAGGTGCATCATAAATAAGATTTGTTCTTCTAAGGTCCTCCATAAATTCAGCATCACCATTGCACACAATTGTTGACAATGCCTTACGAATTCTACTAGCTTAAATTATCCTTCATCTGATTCCTTAATGCCCCTATATTCTAAACAGTATTATCAGATGGTGAAATAAAACATTACTATCTTACGCCCATTTTAGGAATCTTTTCACACTTATTTTGGGTCAAAATTACTACTGCTTCTGTCTTTTCCTGATAAGTTTTTGAAACACATTGCTGTTTCTGCCCTAAAACCAAACACTGCTCAAAAGTACAATATTCATTATTCTACTTCTTCTATATTCATATTTTTTTCTTCTTTATTCATATCCGAACACCCATTGAGACTTTTGAATCTTTGGCATTTGTTTTGTGGCAGTAATATAAACCTGGAGTTAGCTACCTTGGGTAAGCAACCCTTTATCTAGTCCAGGATGAGGTCATACATGTAAAAGCATATTACTGTTAGACATTTCTTTCCTAGGCCTACACCAACAACTGCCAAAGTGCCCTTTCTAAAATCTTGCTATTACTTGCTCATATAGGTCTAAGTGTTGTTCATCATCTATAAGGCTAAATTTCAAACTCATTTTGTCATGTAGAGCCCTTTCAAAGGCAGGTGCAATTTATGTTCTCAATATCATGTTCACTTACCAACAGAAATACTACAAATACAAAGCTTCTACTCCAGGAAAACTGTCAACTCGAGCACTTTATGCAATTCTTATGTAGTGCGTTTCTCAAGCCATTTTTCCTGTTCTAGGATCTCCTTTGCGCTCCACCAACACAAACTCTGTCCCCCCTTCAGAATCTAGTTTAAGTCTTACATTCTTTATAATCACTTCAATTCACAATTATGTCTGCCTCTGTGAATTTTATTTTATTTTATTTTATTTTGAGAAAGAGTCTCGCTTTGTTGCCCAAGCTAGAGTGAGTGCCGTGGCGTCAGCCTAGCTCACAGCAACCTCCAACTCCTGGGCTCAAGCAATCCTGCTGCCTCAACCTCCCGAGTAGCTGGGACTACAGGCATGTGCCACCATGCCCGGGTAATTTTTTCTATATATATTAGTTGGCCAATTAATTTCTTTCTATTTATAGTAGAGACGGGGGTCTCGCTCTTGCTCAGGCTGGCTTCGAACTCCTGACCTCGAGCAATCCGCCCACCTCGGCCTCCTAGAGTGCTAGGATTACAGGCGTGAGCCACCGCGCCCGGCCCCTCTGTGAATTTTAAAAAGCACTGTTTATCTCACTCAACTGATACTAAATTTATTACATTAGTTACAAAGTCATATTATATATTGTTATTAAATGTTTTATGTATACATTTTATTTTATTAATTAGAATATACAGACTTTAAAGACAGGGAAAATGTCTTAGTCATCTCTATTTTATTTTAGGGCAGTGCTATTACAATTTTACATGCTCAATACATATTTTTCAATGAATCAAATTATTCCCATAGACCTTTTTCTAATAGATGTTTTGACCTATTTTACTTTGGCTTTTAGGGAATTTAGAAGTAGACACCGTGGGATATTATAGGTTTGTTTCTTTGAGTTTTTCTCTTATTACTTCACATATTTTTTTTGTATTTCACCGAATGTATATTATCTCACAAAATACAAAATTCATGCTATTATTTGCTTGTCTTACACTCCTTCTTTTAAACAATTCTACATTTTTTATATTACTATGCACAAAATATCAAATGCATTCATTTATGAAAAATTACACATAGACTTTTAAGCACTTATGTGACAAAAGATAAGAGGGTAAAATGGTAGAAATAAAAATATAAAACTAAATAAGTAGTTTTCTAAAAATATATGCCTTATGTGAGATATGAGATCAACTTACACAACATCGTTCACCTCTATTCTGGTATCTGGAGATGGGTTAATCAGGATGTAGGAGAGTGTACTCTGATGGTCATTCATTTCATCTAGAAGATAAATAAATGTCAAGTTTGCCATACTACTTACAGAAGATTATCAGAATTATTGCAGAACAGCTTAAGTTAAAGCTTATAAATGTCAAAGAGAATTTGCTATACTTCTGTATGCAGCATGGTTGTGTGCATAAGTTTGGCTATTTTCAAATTATTGTCATTGATAATATCTGACAGGTTTTTGCTTTTTGCTCCAATAGATGATACAAATAAAGTACCTAATTCTGTTCAGAACAACCACAGTTATATTCTGCCCTCTAAGATATTATACCGAAAACGTATTTCTATTAAAGAAATGGCTAGACAAGATCTTTACTTGGTTTATTAATAATTCCTTATCAATTACAAAAAAATAATTCTGGTTATAGATAGCTACCCTTGAAAGGAATATTCATACATAAAATTCTTTGAAAATAATCTAATTACATTGTGTTTAGAAAACATGAAAACCATGTGTCTGAAAAGCTTGAAGATCCTAAATATGTTTGACTTTACAACATGATACATCTGATATAAGCCATTATAATGCTTTTGCAGAATGCAAAGAATCCTGTGGAATAGAATTTAACAAAAAGTTTGAAGGGAAGCATACTACCGAATCATTTGTTTTTCTTTGAAAACAATATGTATTTGTAAAATAAACGGCAGTGCCCTTTTAAATTTTTTTTTTTTTGAGACAGAGTCTCACTCTGTCGCCAGGGTGCTAGAGTGCCGTGGCGTCAGCCTAGCTCACAGCAACATCCAACTCCTGGGCTCAAGTGATCCTTCTGCCTCAGCCTCCCGAGTAGCTGGGACTACAGGCATGCGCCACCATGCCCGGCTAATTTTTTCTGTTTTTGGTAGAGATGGGGACTCACTTTTGCTCAGGCTGGTCTTGAACTCCTGAGCTCAAATGATCTATCTGCCTCGGCCTCCCAGAGTGCTCGGATTAGAGGTGCAAGCCACCTTTGTTAATTCACTCTAAAGACATCTTCAGGCTACACGATTAGAAAGATGACTTGGCATTATATAGGGCATTTGAAAAAAGAAAGGCAAACAGCTTTGGAGTGCCGATTTTGTATATTTCAAAGTTATCATAAGATGTAAATATAAAGCCATGTGGATAAATATTTCAATAAACATAATTCCACCTAAGGATACAGTTTTTAGACTGTGAGAATACTCTCAAATATCCTGTTCTAGAGCCATAGTGCTGGTCTAGCCATTTCAGTTGTAGACAAGAGTGGATCCTGCAGGAAGAACTAGATTTTGCAGTTTCATACAAAATGTAAGAATAAATATCATGCCAGTAGAGATACAGCAATCCTCAAATAACTGCATTAAATTAAAGATTTTTACTTAAATTTTAGGGGAGGGGTGGAAAGTGATTAGAGATGAGAGAAAAAGAGTAATTCTATTTAATTAACCTCTGTTTAAAATGATTTTTATTACCTCTCAAAAACTTATAACTATTTTGTGATAGGCAAGATAAAAATTTAAATAATAAAATAAGTGGACTCTCTTAACTTCCCTTCATATGAATATTTGGAAGTCAAGGTTATATGAAACTGAATTTGATTTTGAGGGAGCCAGGAAGTAACAGAATCAAAAGTTCAGGAAAAGAATCCTTTCTTTTATCTGGAGCAAACAACTAATTTATAAAATTAATTTGAAAGAAGAAACATTAAAAAATAGTTAGGAAAATACTGACAAAGAAGACTTCAGGAGTTTGTAGCTCTATCAGATATTAAAACATTATTTTATTACTATAAAGCCTCTGTAATTAAAACAGCGGACACTTCTGCCTGAATAGGAAGACAGCTCATTACAACACAATAGAAAGTCTAGGAACCCAAACAGACCCAACATCAATCAATATGCAAAACAATAATAGCTTTAAAGCATTCATCCTCAGTGGAGATAATATTGCTGTCAAGGATGTTGGGGACTGACATTATACTTTCCTGGTTTAAGAATTAAATTAGTGAGTAATGTACGCGTGCTGCCCAGAGCGTTTGAGAGTAATGTGTTCTGGACAGGTCCTTGTGACAAACAAGGTTGCTGCCTCGAGGCATAACAGAGGACCTGAGTTTCCGCAAGTAAGCAAGAGCTGCCCAGCCCCACGGCAGTAGGGGTCTGAAGGCCACACCATAAACACATTGTACCTAGGATTGCTGCTTAGCCCCGTAAGATGGCTGGTTAGTCAATGATGGGTAAGATTCCTCAGGGAGGAACAACCTAAGACTAGCACAGCGGCTGGGGGCTAGCCTAGAGGAACTGTGGCTGCCTTGCCCAACCTTGCTAATCTTGGCCTGTGATCTATGCCTGGCGCCTAGAGCAACCACCTAGAAACCTTGAGTCAGGGGACATCTGTGTCCGTAGGCTACATGTTCCAGAATTTATGGCCATTGCTGTAATGCCTGGGTAGTCACGTATAAGGAAGTAACTTTGATTTTTTTAGAGTATAAAAATAAACTGACCAGTGCATTGGGCACTCAAGTCTTGTACTGTCTTTGTGTGTGTCCGTGTCTTTCTTTTATGTTTTGTGTTCATCCCTTGTCCTGCAAACGGGCCACGGCAAAGGATGCAAAATTTGTGGAGTTTATTTGGATATGGGCAAAAAAATCTTACTTTTTTATGTATAAAGTATAGATATACATAAAATACTCAAACAGATATGCATTATATCTGTAGTATGAATTGAATGACACTCTGGGATAAGCACTTTCTTATTATCCCATTTGTCATTCACAACAAACCTACAATATAGGTATTATTACTTCCATTTCTCAGATAAGAAAATAGGCTCAGAGAGGTTAAATAATTCAAGAAATCTATTATAGAATATGAGTTCTATAAATGCAAAGGTCTTAGACATCTGACGTGCCTAGAACTGACAGCAACCCAATAATATCTGTTGAATGGATGAATTGTTATGAGTTAGGAATAAGTAGAGGGGTCCAGAAGCTCAAGATGTGTTAGATTCCAAATCTTGTTTTAATAGTCACTATGTTATTAGAGGTGTCTAATACATGGTTTTGGAATGGATTGATGGATCTATGGCTAGATAGATGGATAGAATGAAGAGAGAGAGAAGAAGAAATAAGGAAAGAAAAAAGTGAACAGAATCTGTTCTTCCTTTCTGTAATAGTGTATCAATTAAATTAAAAAATCCTAGAGAATAACTAAATTCAAGGTACCTGACAGACGTTTCTTTATGAAAAACATAATATGATTTCTGATGATTCTCCCATGCAGTCAACTTATGCATTTTTGTGTCTGTAAGAGTCAAACTTATCTGCCATACTTCTTACAGGACCACCCAGGGGTTTTAATGTTCATGAGAAGCAACTGGAACTTGGGTAAACAATCATTTACTAGAACCTTTTACTTAAAGAAAAAATGGCTAAATAACAACTAACAAAAATGTACACATAGAGGACCATAATCCTATAAGAAATATTATCATACTTAGTGTCATTAAACTGGCAGATAGCTATTAGTGAATTTGTAAAATGATTATTTTTTTCTTTTAATTTGCTTCTTCATGTAAGACATTAAGTGTGATTATATTAAAATCACTGGTCACAGGTGAATCTAGATTACATTTAAGTTATTGAAATATTATTATGAATTTCAACTACATATGGAATCCTGACTCCAACACATTTTAACTCTATGTTCTTGAGCAAAGTCTTTAACCTCTGAAAGTCAAATTTCTGAAGGGTAAAATGAAATACCTATCTAATCAGGGTTATAAAGCATATGAAAAAATATAAATAAAGCACCTAGCACAGTTCCTGAAGTAGCACACATAGCATGTAACAGTTTGTGCATAGCATAGAACAGTTTGCAGTAAATATGCTATTTTTCTTATTCCAAGAAACACAGGCAACTTCTCCTAACCTTTAATTCAATGATGAAAATTTCTTCCTATGAACTTTGTCTCAAGTTGAGACTTTACTAATAAAGATGAGGTGGGGTAAATATGAAATGCATTCTATTTTATTCTTAATCTGCATGATACTGACACCATCTTAGGTCCTGGTTTACCCAAGTAATTGAAACAAAATACCTATTTATTTTTTTGTTTTCCTATGAGTTGACCAAATTTCTTTTTAAAATAAAATTCATAAAGTGATAAATGATATATTTTAAAGTTATCTCTGCATTATTTACCTGAGTTGTGTCTGTATGGTCTCTATGGCAATCACAGATCAACATAGGAGCCTTATAATCATTGAGACAGATCTGTACTTTATGAGATAAAACACTACTTTGAGCTTCAAAATTAAAGCTTTTCCAGACATTTTGTTTCTGAATCATGGGAAACTAAACATATTTTATGAGAATATTTTGGTTCATCTATGGCTGATACAACTGGTTACTTGCCAATGCCTCAGATTCGTTCTATTTCAGACCCTAGAATAAGACGTTTGTCGATGTGTGTGAGTGTGTGTGTGTGGGGGTGAGGGAGACTTTGGAGCTGGACAGACCTGGGCGTAAATCTCAGCTCTGTTGTAAACAAGCTAATTAGCAAGTTTCTTACCTAAAAAACTTAAGTTTCTTTACCTCTAAAATAGAAACAAAGGGCTTGGAGTTTTTGCAAAAATTGAAATTAAGATAATTCATGTTATGGGTTCAGCACAGTGCCTAGCAGACTAAGTAAATGCTTAAAATTTTTAGCACTTTATTTTATTATTATCATTTAAACTTTCTGTAGGAGATTAGATCTGTCGCTAGTTTCCACAAACTGACCTGTGGAGAAAATGTAATTCTTTACAAATTACAGCCAACTATCTATGTAACTACCAATGGCAAGAAATCACAAGTCCACATGCACAGTAGTTTTAAAGAGCATACCATATCCCACTGTAGAAAGACCCAAGTGTTTCATTCTATTTTTCACAAGTTCAGCAAGCTCTTGTCTCTCTGACCTCCTGTAGAGGTTCAGTCGCTGCTGGGTTATTTTTTCAGCTGTTTTACCAGAGTGTTTTGGACCTTTTCGGCTCAGTCTTCGGGCCCACTGCATGCTCTTTCTCCGCAACAGGGGGTGGTCGGACTGGTCGCTAGACGTGGAGTTGCGGTGGTTGCTGCGGTGGTGCCCTTGCTCTTTGGAGTCTCTGGTGTCTTCCCACTCTTCGACGCTGATGGATATCTGAGACTTTAAAGGAAAGGGATATTGATAATTAGATATTTTAGGAATAATCATGGCCTGGAGTTGAAATAATATTCATTTGCTATTACCTTGGCATAGTTATGTATCTACTCATGAGAGTTTTCACAGAAAGAGCAAAATCATAATCTTTGACTCTAATTTTTATTGCTAAAAATATTATCAGAAAATATATTTTCTTGAACTTATATAAGAACCAGATAAAATATATGCATCCTCTAATACAATTTTTTATGAAAGGATTTAACTTTTTGTGCATAAGGGCTTTCTTATCATAAATGACTACTAGCATATAGTTATTTGACACATCAAAAAAACTAGTTATTTTTTGAAATAAAGTCCAAGTAATGGAGTTTTCAAATCTAATACAGGTATTTCATATTAAATTTAAAAATTATTATAATAATTGTTATATTTTTGGAATTATTTATATTTTTAAAGGTTTTTAAATTATTGATTGCTCTTTCTAAAGATGGTATTGGAATGAACTTTTTAAAATATGATTTTTTTATTCCCTCATATATCCCAGAAGAAAACAAAAATCAATTTTAACTCATGCATTCAATATTTACCACATAAAATATTCTTCTGATTAAAATATTAAAACATATTTCAGAAACTGTTATAAGTATTCTAAGTTAAAATATATTGTAAATATTAATGTTTCACAAATGTATTATTATAGAATCACAACTAAAACTTAAACCAGGCCATTCTCCATAGGAGGGAAAAACAATGAACAAAGTCGCAAAGTCTATTTTAACTCACTCTTTTACTACTAAATCTGATTTTTAAAGTAAGAAGTTTTCCTTTGATCATAGGCCCTTAATACGCAAAAGTTTACTGTTTCAATTTTGTTGCTTTTCATACCAGGAAGTCATATGAAATGCACCATGGATCAAAACAGAAAGTCTCACTTTCTAAAAACATGCACATGGGAAAAAACAACTTCCTGAATTCTATTGTACTTAAGAGCAGCACCCATGAATCTGCTGTGCTTCATTTCTATGGATGGACGCTTGAACTTCAGCTACAACATGCATGTATTGTTGGCTTTTAAAATAATAGAATTTAAATTACCAATTTAAGTAAGGTCAGGAATTAGATCCAATAAGATCCTTTAAAGCGAATATAAATTATAGAGGCTCAGTCAATGCCTTAGAAACAATTCCCAGTGGCAAGCTATGATAATATCTCACACTTAAATTCAACCAAAAATTCAAATATTCATCTATATCACTGTTTCAAAACAGTACTGTACCAGAGTGATATCAAAAATACTTTATTTCATCTTCATATCTTCATGATAAAAGAATACTTGATTAAAAATTTTTAGAAATCATATTTTATCTATCATACCAATTTAAGTTAGAAACAATAAAAGTTTTTAATACTATGATTTTGCAATATGGATACTTTTACAAAGTCTTAACAATCAATTCTCACCTACTTGATACTATACTGAAAATCCTCCTCTGTGAAAGTAAAATACATAAACTCTTCAGTAATATGTACCACCGATCTTTTTTTTGCCTTTTATTTATTGTATTTTTATTTTTATAAATTTATGGGGTACAAATGCAATTTTGTTACATGTGTAGATTGTGTAGCATCGAAGTCAAGGCTTTTAGGGTATTCAGCACCCAAATAATGTACATTGCACCCATTAAGTAGTTCTCATCATCCACTTCCCTCCTACCACCTCACCCTTCCAATACCAATCTTTATTCAGTAGTTTACATGTACTTTGTAGCAAAAATGAAAATAATGTGAGTTCATTCATATTTAGATGCTTGCAGAATTTAATCACAATCCTTTGTCTCTCTTTCTAGTCACAGGTCCCTGTGAGTAATAGTTTGATTGTCTATAAATATGTGGAAATAGTAATATTACCAGACCACATACTCAAGATATTATGTTCATCTAATGTCACTTATAATTCAAGTCACAGTACTATAAAGTAATTAAATATTTTAAGAGGAATGGTGGGGATTCACTCCTCTTCTATATCCACATTGTATTTGGAATGCTTTTCTTTAGTCATTGTATCAGGCTTCATGCGACGTATACATCTAAAACATGAGCAAGCTGAAACCTATGATTACATTCTTTAAGCAATATTAAATACCCTATTTATCAGTGTTTTGAATTCCTCAAGGAAGGAAATATTATGGTTTATACATAAAACCCATAAGAATTGCAAGTCCTTTTATAAAATAATTCCATAAAATAAGTAGCATCTGTTTGTAAAGTTCACTTCAAAGAAAAAAGGAATAACAAGAATTTAGAGATTCGTTTTAAGAAATCCAAATCCCAAACATGGATTGTTCTTTCATGTTTGGAATTTGCATGCTACTTTCCCATTCTTCCAACATGATATAATAAAAAGTATATTGAATTTTTGTGTATTAATGTACACAAATTTGGGTGTGATTCCAGATGTTTCCTAGCTCTGTCCCTATAAGAAACTGCATGATCTCTGTAAAAAATGAAAATAATAAGCTCATCTTTCTACCTCATAAAATTATGAAAATTCATGTAACATTAATATATAAAGAAAACATTTGTGTGTGTGTGTGTTATAAAAGGAAGTCCATTATAAATATACTTTCCTCATATAATTTCTTCCTCTCATAATTTCTTGTGTTTTGAATATGCCATCATGATCCAGTGGAACAGCACAGTGCTGGGACACACAATGGTGCCTTTGTAGTGGCATGTTTTCTTGAACTTAGAGTGATAGAATGGTTTAAGCAAGGATTTTAGCAACAAATAGACCGGGGTTTAAATAATAGTTACACCACTTACTAGCTTTGTATTCTTGTATATGTAGTTTAAACTCTCTAAGATTATTCCCATTTCCCTATCTGAAAAATGATCATTACATTGTTACTTGCCTACCAGGTTTTCCTAAGAACATAGATGAGAGAACACATGAGAAGTGCACGCTACAATGTCTGTCTCAGAAAATGCTCAATAGATATTAATTTATACTATGGTTTTTGAACTGGTATGAAAAGATGGTAAACGGGAGTGGGGAAAAAGAAATAATCATGAAAGGTATGTAAAAAATGGGTATAAAAAAGAGAGGGAATCACTCATATTTTTGATACAGTTTTTTCTCTGTCACTATCTATATGTCCAAAGAAATCAAGGTGCTAAAAACAAATTTTTGGGGAGGGGGATAAAGATTCCTTGGTTAAACGTTAGTGAATCTAAAGAAGAGAAAAAGTTTTAAAGTGAAAGTGAACGTCTTTTATTCTGCACTTTTTCAATGAATTATTCTGTACTGTTTCTATGAATAACTAGAGGACCTTACTTTTTTGTATTTTTATTGTCAGAGACATAATATAATCATTAGCTTGAAATATCAAAATTCAATACTAATGTTTGTAAGAGTCAGCAAAACAGATACTCGCATATTTTATATGAAATGTGTCTTGGAATGTGCGTATACACACACACACACACACACACACACACATATACAATTCAGTAGGGAAATGAAAAATTCATATAGCTACTCCAAAAATTTTCATACAGATTTTAAATATTATCATTTTCTAAAAGTTATATTACTTACCAAATTTAGTATTACTTTTAAAAAAGGCTAAAATGTCTCTTCTCCTGAATGATAGCTGAAAGCTTAATAAATGAAAAATATTCCTCATGCCTAAAACAGCTTGATTACATTATGGTTTTCAGAAAGAAAGTGTCAGATTCACAAAATATATCAAACACTCTTTTCCACACTCTCATACACATACATCAAAATGACAATTCAACTGCTTCTCAATTTTTTATCAAATAGTTATTCATGTTAGAGTTTATTGAATGATCTACAGAACAAAGTAATATTTTAAAATAAATTTATTCACCTAGTAGTTTAAAACTGAGTGTAATGGGGATTAATAACTCCCTTAAGAATTGTTTTATAGGCTTCATAATGCTCTAAAGTGTGCTACCTGATTTATGATTAAAGACATTGAGTATTATTGCTAAAGAAGAAAGCAAAAGAAAAATGAAATCACTGAAGATTGTCAGCTTAACATTTTATACAAAAAAAATTCTATCTAATGTTTTCCATTAAACACAAGTTAAATTATAAGAATACTTGAGAAAGCATCTAAATTTAAATATATATGAACCATGGATAGTGACCTTGAGTTCACTCGAAACTTCTTAGTAACAGAAAAATAATCATCTGCAGAAAGATGTTTCACCAATTTTTACAGGCTCAGTTTAATATGTACATGTAGTCTGTGATCTAAGCAGAGATACAAAACAGCTAGTTATATTGCATTTTGATGACTTTTCAACTTATTTTCAGAATCACAGAAATGACTAGAGAATCTCATAGTCTGAAAAAATCCTGAATTTGGAATCCAATAAATAAGCTGGGCCAGGGGCGGTGGCTCATGCCTGTAATCTCAGCACTCTGGGAGGCTGAGCTCAGGAATTCAAGACCAGCCTGACCAAGAGCGAGACTCCCATCTCCACTAAAAATAGAAAGAAATTAGCTGGACAACTTCTGCCTACTAGCAAGTTTATACTCTGAGACGCCCATGTTGCTAAGTCTTCTAAGCTTCTGTTTAGATCTAAACAATTTAAACAATTGGGAATTTCAATAACTGTTATTTAGAGACAGGAGTTTGGGAATGTCTCTGTGTCATTTGTCTCAGCCCAGGCCTATCTCTTTGTGCCTCATATTGAAACGTGTGTATGATCCACTAAGAAACATGATCTCTTGGCCAACTAGGGAGTCCCTTGGAATCAACTGAGTTAGCAGCATCATTATTAAGTGTGATGAAGCTTGCTGGAGAACTGCTGCCTTTGATCTCTTAGGAGGAGAGCCTTGAACAGAAACAGGCTCCAAGAGTCTCCACAATTGGCCAAACTCCAGAATCATTTCAGCATTGGATGCCCTAGATGACACTAGGCCCGACTTGCACATTTTTACAGACTCATGGGCAATTTGCCTGTGGTCTGGCTCTCTGGTCCGGCCAATGGCAGCAACAATTATGTATCCAAGGTAAAGAACTCTGGTAGTCTGCCACCTCATAGATTCACACAATAAAGATCACACATATCTTTACACTTATTAAAACCATAATACGAGTCTCATCAAAACAATCTATATCCCCTTCAGAATTCCAGACATCAGTAAAAGTGACCAAGATACACATTTCACTTTTTCAAAATACACAAAACTGTGCTTTTGAACAAGGTATTCAAGAGAACTTTCATCTTCCTACTAACCACAGGCAACAAGCGTCATAGATCATCAAGAATGGCTTATTTAAACACGCTTGAATTCTGTTAAATCAGACAAGGCACATTTTAGTCATATGTCAAACATCAGGGGTGAATTGTAACAGAGTCTGACCCATTTTTGATCTTTGACTGCTTACAGCTTCCTAGCCGCAACAAAACCTTCTCTTCCACATCTGGGCAAGTTACTAAGAAAGCCTGACATGTATGGCGGTTCCCTAACGGGTTTTGTGAACACATAAGAAAGTTACCATTGCCTCACAAGGGGTCTCCTTCCTGTTTGGGAGAGGACCCCTACTCTGTTTATGGAGTAGGATTTGCTGTCTGTCTCTCTCTCAATAAACTTCCTGTTGCTAGTTGGCTTGCTCTTGAATTCTTTCCCGCTGCGAAACCAAGAACCTACTGGAAGAGTTCAGGGGGCTTTCCTTCCTTCCTTGGTGTACCCCCTGCATCCATCCTATGTATAATGCCTTCAAAAGTTAGTACAGTGACTCCAATACGAATACAGCACCTCCCCTGCCACAGCCCAGACATTTCCAACACACACACATACGCGCGTATTTCCAACACACACACACTCTCAATCTCTTTCTCCTTTACAGCATTTGAGAACCAATGGATAAATGAGTCTGGGAAAAGAAAACTTCTATGTTATACTCAATGCCTTAATTAAAGAACAGAAACAATGATATAAGACCTGGTAAAATATAAATATTTTTATTCTTATGTAAAGAATCTACCTAAAACAGGTAGATTCTAGTAGGTAGATTCTGATCCAAATATACCATTGCTAATGGATCACTTCTGCCTTATGAAGATCTAGGTGACTTATGTCAATGTTATAATTTTCTATTCAGTTCTTATCTTGTTGACTCCACCAGCCATTTGACAAGGAGCTGCGATTAAAGGCTTAATTTACTTCCTTTGGCAATGGAAGAATGCTCTCCATACAGTTCAAGATGTTAAATGGGGTCGGGCGTGGTAGCTCACGTCTGTAATCCTAGCACTCTGGGAGGCCAAGGCGGGCGGACTGCTCAAGGTCAGGAGTTCGAAACCAGCCTGAGCAAGAGCGAGACCCCATCTCTACTATAAATAGAAAGAAGTTAATTGGCCAACTAATATATATAGAAAAAATTGGCCAGGCATGGTGGCGCATGCCTGTAGTCCCAGCTACTTGGGAGGCTGAGGCAGGAGGATTGCTTGAGCCCAGGAGTTTGAGGTTGCTATGAGCTAGGCTGACGCCATGGCACTCACTCTAGCCTGGGCAACAAAGTGAGACTCTGTCTCAAAAAAAAAAAAAAAAAAAAGATGTTAAATGGAAGAAAGCCAGGACTGTAGTTAAATTAAATCAAATAGAGGCATTAAATAGCCTCTTGTTACTGTGTGCCAGTGAGGCTCTTATTAAGTTAAAATAAGTAAATAATAAAAGTAAGAAATGCTTTTCTGGGGTTGAGAATGAGCAAGATTAAAAATCAGTAGAGCTAGAAAATATTAGAAAAAGAATTATAAAATAAGGGAAGAAAAAGATTCAAGAGTAAAATCTTCATGAAAGTGAAAGAAAATAACAGATGAGCTCAGACTCCTATTGTATGTGTCACACACATGTGCACGTGTGTAAGTGAGAATGCACTGGAAGTTAGTGAACATATCTATGCTTGATTAATATTACAAGTCATTTATTTACATTACAGAAATACTTTATACACTTTATTTACAAATTAAGTGTATTGACATGAATATTTTCTGAGGCAGTGTCATCTACTCAAAAACGATGAGCCAATGAAGAACAAACTATGACATAAGATGTATGTTACTTTATGTACTTTGCAGCAGAATTACTTGCCATTAGTTCTGAGCTATTAAATATTTACTTCACACATTTTGCCTTTTTGTAACTTTTGAACTAACAATATGTTCCCTACTTAATCTTTACTCTGTTACATATTAATGGTAGCCCAAGTTCACATCAGCTGCTATAAGGGGGGAGGCTGAGATTTAAACCTTGATCATCTTGTGCCAAGCCCAGTGCTCATCTGGCCTGGCAAAATAATTGGATAAATGATTTGTACCAGCAATAGGACAAGGGGGTCAATAAAGAATGGCTAGAGTATAAACTAGCTTAAAATTGAACAAGAAGAAATTTGACTTGAAATAGTATGCATCAAACACACTATATAGATTCTTCATCATGTGTGAGTGAAGAAAAATGATCATTAATCTGGCTACACTATGCAGGATATTAAACGGAAGAGAGTTTTGACATACAAAATGCACCAAGAATAGGCATGAAGTTTTCATTTCAGCTTTCTGAAAAAATCTGTTTACTGATGCATTCCAAGTACCTAGATGGGTGCCTGTGGTACCTATTGCTCAATAAATATCTGTAATTCTGGAATATAATAAGACAGACAGAATCCTGTAGATAAAGATTATGCATTTGTTTTTAATGTTAAGAAATTAGGACAGCTAGGGCTGAAAACACAAATTTGTGATCCATCAACACAGAAGTAAATGTTGAAACCACACTCAGCAATGAGTGTTCTGAGGCAATGTGTATAAAAAGAGCAAAAAAATATAAACCTAACCTTTGTAAACCTGTGGTTATGGTTAAAGTCTGAATTCCCATGTTGATTCTCAAACAAAGCATATGGGAAAAGAGAGAGGTGTCCAGAAATTGGTAGAGGCTGCAATAGTTAAACCTAGTGATTAAAAACAGAGTCATCAGGTGTCGGGCAGGTGGGAGGGGTAGGAGGAGACGGGGATATTCACACTTAATGGGTGCGGTGTGCACCGTCTAGGGGATGGACACACTTGAAGCTCTGACTCGGGTGGGGCAAAGGCAATATATGTAACCCAAACATTTGTAGCCACATAATATGCTGAAATAAAAAACAAACAAACAAAAAACAGAGTCTCTAGTGTCAGATAGTAATAAATTCTAAACTCAGATCTAACACTGCCTAAGTTTTTACTTTTGGTCAAGTTAACTTGTCTAAGTTTACTCATTTAAAAAATTCTGGCTAAAGGCCGGGCGTGGTGGCTCATGCTTGTAATCCTAGCACTCTGGGAGGCCGAGGCGGGCGGATTGCTCAAGGTCAGGAGTTCAAAACCAGCCTGAGCGAGACCCATCTCTACTATAAAAATAGAAAGAAATTAATTGGCCAACATATATATATATATAAAAATTACTGGGCATGGTGGCACGTGCCTGTAGTCCCAGCTACTTGGGAGGCTGAGGCAGTAGGATTGCTTAAGCTCAGGAGTTTGAGGTTGCTGTGAGCTAGGCTGATGCCACGGCACTCACTCTAGCCTGGGCAACAAAGCGAGACTCTGTCTCAAAAAAAAAAAAAAAAAAAAATTCTGGCTAAAGACAGAATATCTGTCTTTCTGGGTCTGGCTTATTTCACTTTGCATGATGTTGTTCGGGTTTATCCATGTTGTTTCCCTTCCCTAAAATTGTTGAATTCATAGAAAAAGAGTGAAAAGGGGGTGACCAGGGGTCAGGGGATGATAGAAATGGGAAGATGTTCATCCAAGATACAAACTTTCAGTTATAAGATGAATAAGATCTGTAGACCTAGTGTACAGCATAACAACTACAGCTAATAACGTATTAATAGCTGGAAATTGGCTAAGAGAATAGGTCTTGAGAAGTCTCAATACAAGAATATTCCCAAGAATATTCTTATACACCTCAGTTAAGTAAAACAGCTTCTGAAATATATCAGTCTGGAAGTTATAAGTGTTTATGTCTAATCAGTGCATGTACTAAGAAGAGTATCAGGTCCTTCTGTACAGTAGGTGATGGATTTAACTAACATTTGAAAAGCAAAAGAAAACTAGTTTTCAAATAACTTTAAAATCCATAATAACATACTGAAATATCTTTCATTAACCATAGTTAGTATAAAATTGTGAAAACATAATACACATTAGAATTGAATCTCTACAATGGCAAATACCAGAAAAGAATAGTTAGCATATTTTGTTCAATCTTAATATTTTACCAAAGAATAGATTTTTGTGCTTTAACTTCAGTTTATATTAGCTCTGAAATTTTGAAAGATGAGCATATGTTATTCAGCACAATTCTGTCTGTACAAAAAACAAATTTAAGAAACTAAAAAAACTAACTGAGGTTTTGGACTTTTAAATATGTTATGTCCATTAGTTTCTCAATGTTAACTAAAGCTTTTATGTAATTGATATATTGATAACCTGAAAAAAAGCCCAAATTGGATTAATACATGAACATAATTTGAAGACAAACAGGTAAAATTAATTTGCAATCTGATCGGGGAAATATAAATATACTTATTTGAAAAGAAAGCATTTCAGTTTATTTGATTAATTTCATTTGAAATACTGAATTCAATCTTTAATATTCTTTTTCTTCAATACCTCTGAATCCATATATTACACCATTTGAGGAAAGGGAGACAAACAGAACATACTTACTTGTGATGCTATTTTTCGAGACTGACACAAGGGAAGGAAAAAAGAAACACAAAATACAGTTTAAACAATGACGAAATAATACATACATGAAACAATCAGCAACAAGGACAAAATATGACATATATCCACATAATGCTTATAATATGCTTATGTGATTATTTATCAAAGGGCTTTTGAACAAAATTAGGTAAAGAATAAGTTATAATTTTTAAAGTTTACTAAAGATTTATTCTTGTTAGATTGTTTTTTGTTTTGCTAAAATTGTCTTCCTAAGTTTGATAGAAAGAAAAAATGGTGTTAGAAGAAGAAAATATAATTGATAGTAGCTTATAAAGCTACTGTATTCATAAGAGAATATGTGATACAATTATTGATAATAATCAGTACTAATATCTGTATTATTATTTTAAACTTTAGATCTTATAGTAAGATTGTCTTTTTCTCCTACATGCAAATATAATTAAATTGATGGAAATATTTTGAGTTTTCACATTGGCTATCGAACCTAAAAATTGATCTGCCCAGTCAATGTATAATAGCTAAGAATTTATGGGTTATAAAAACCATGATTATCTTATTTTTAAATTCTAAAGAATAATAGTCTACTCACTTTTAAATATGTAGAAGTAAAATTTTCAATTATGTTCTCTGATGTAATATAGCTCAAGTCTCACTCATTATTATTAGTATTAAAGCAGTATTATCTTACTATTAATGCAAATATAAGAAATGCATAACAAACATTTGATTGTAGGCTCCTTGAAACTATTCATCTCAGGAATCCTAATACATGGCACAGTGAAATAAATGTTGTTTGAGAGAATAACAGCAGAGAATGGGCAGCCAGAATTTTAAAACCATTCAATGCTAATCCTTACTAAAATCATTTTATTAATGAGATTTTATAAAAGATAAATTTTTATTTTAATAATATATTTAAAATGCTCCTTTCCATTTTAATATTAAAGAGTTAATGAATGGCAGATGGAGCCATCAAGGATTGTTTCACCGTGCACATTTTTGAAAGCTATAGGATTTACTGACTGTAAAGGTGTCCAAAAATTAGGGTAACATCTTCCACAATTTACTGCATACACTACAACAGATGTTGGTGCTCTAATATGCTTTAAATGATCTCTTTCTAGTTTCTAGTAAAATATTTACTGGATATAGTATATTTCAAGCAAATGAGACTTTCAGTACAGTGGAAAACTAGAGGCAAATGCAGGTCCACTCCTTCTTATCTAAAAAAGCACAGGGACAAATATGTTAATTAATGCAGAACTTTTCACATGTTGGAAAGTTAATACTATATCATATGCTGTATGGTAGATAATATTCCTAGTGGGACCTGGGTAGAATTTTATAATGAAAAGCATTAATATTGCTGCGATGAAAGTATAAATAGTCCATTCAAGAGGAGTGAGTAACATTATAAATAATCTCACAACAGCTCTGGTGAAGTTTTGCCACCAAATGAGTCTAGTGAGCTTTTTGGAATTCAGAATTCTGTATGAAGAATTGAGGAGGAAAATAATGTTCCCTTTTGTCCACCAAAAGGAATATGGGTCCTTGTCCTTCCAGTATTCTTTCTCTTTTTTGTTTTTGTTTTCATTTGTGCCTGTGTGCATGTGTCAATGTTGCTGTATTGTTTTTTGAACCAGGAGAATTAATGTTTGTAAAAATTCGCTGAAATTGAAATATCTATTACAGACAGTGGTAGAAGCTCTCCTGGCAGGGTGACATGTAACTAGTTATAAAGGAGCAGATCCATCCTACCCTACTCTCCACAGACTGATTTTCCAGCCATGGTGTGCATATACACTTCACTCACTGCTTGCGTTTGTGTGACTTCTTTCACCAATCTATAGCCCATTGTAAATAACTAAGATAGTTTTCCAGGTCCTTTATAAATTTTATGGGTTTTAATTATGAATATTCCATGTCATTATTTGTCTTTTCAAAGATGTCTACTAAAGTATTCAGTGCTTCTCCCACCCCACAAGCAAAGTAGTTATGTCAAAGATGTAACTTATGATACAAATACTTTCTCTCAAACAGAACATGGGAAGACATTAAAGGCAGGCTAGAAAATGATTGGGCATGAAAACCTGTATCCACCTTTGAAATGTGCTTTTTAAAACTACATGAACAAACAAGGAAGCAAAGCCATGAATCTTTCCATTAGTTTACCCTTACATAAAACGCTGACATTTAATAAAACTCTTCACAGAATGGGATAGAATTATGACTTAAAAGTATATACTGAAGAAATAATCAATGAATGAGTCTAATATCACTACTTTATGCCTATTGGCAAGTCTATTGGTTGCAATGCATAGTTAAAACAGAAAATATCATAGTTTGCTTTGAAAAATAGCAGCTTCCATCATAACCTCTCTCATTTGCCTCTCATAGGACCCATCTACTTTTGTGTTTTTTAGCTGTTTATGTTGGTCTTTACCTCTGATTCTATATATGCTTGATTGTGATTTCTTAATTTTTTCAATTTCTTCTTCTATCTATTGAACTTTGTACTCTAGAAGAGGAGGAACTGACAATCATTTCCATATATTCCACTACCTTTGCCATCTCCCATCATCTCAAAACAGCTCAATATAATTTTGGATGGGTCGAAATTGAGTACATATTATGACTAAGTAAAATTTACAAATGAGATATATAAGATATGTGGTTGGTATTCATTTCCCACACACATTCTTTATCACTGATGGTAGTGTTATATTCTTAAAATTAATAATTGTTTTATTGTATTAATTGCTCAGATATATACAGTAATTCAATCAGAACTCTTTGGCAATTGTCTAATTTTTTTTAGAGATATTCAGGTGCATCATGTAATCCACAGATTTCGTCTTCATTAAGAAACTTCTCTGAAGCCTTCTGACCTTCTGCTCTGGGTCTCCCTTTATGCCTGGTGATCCTTTCACCATCATTCTGGGAATTTCCTTGACTTCACTCTTGTCATCTCATTTCCATAAAATGTCTGGTGTCCTACATATCATGGTTCCTTCCTCATTTTACTCATTCGTTTTGGTGGAGGTAGGCTCTTTAGAAAGCAGGCATGGGAAGGATATTTTTGGAGAGTATGCATATTTGAAATATTATTTATTCTATTCTTATGCAAGTTTGATAGCTTTGTCTGGGTATAGAATTCTAATTTGAAACTAATTTTCCTTTAGAATCTTGAGAGCATTGTTCCATTGTGTTCTGGCTTATGGTGTTGCTGTTGAGAAATCCCAAATGATATTTTGCATGGGACTTTCCTACAGTCTCCTGCCTAATCTCTCTGAAGGCTTTTAGGATCTTCTTTCCTTCAGTGTTCTAAAATTTATGGTATCATACCTTGTTATGACTTTATTTTAATTCATTGTTGTGGGCACTTGGTGACTCTTCCTGTTTGGAAATCAACATTCTTCTATCCTGGAATTATTCTAGAATTATTACACTAATATTTCCTCAATTCTACTGTAATTCCTCTATCTTAAAATATTAAGATTCAGGTCTTAGACTTCCTAGAATAGTTCTCTAGTTTTACCTTTTCTTTACTATTTTCATGTTTTCAATTCTTGCTCTAACTTATCAGCAATTTTGTGAACTTTATGTTATAAACTTTTTCACTTCTGTTATTATATTTTTAATTCCCAAGTTCTTTTTATTATCTAAATATTCTTTTCAATTATATTTTATTATTCATCTTTCATTCTTATAATTTATATTTCTAATAATATTAACAGTTTTTCACATATAACTTTACTAATACATACATGACATATCATATAATTCACCCACTCAAGTATTAAATTCAAAGTTATTTCAGTTAATTTACCAAGTTGTGTAAAGCATCATGACAAAGCAGTTTTAGATTATTTCCATCACCCGAATGAGTTCCATCATATCTTTTAGCTGTTAATCTCCATTCCCCTGACCTCTCCCTGCTTTAGGCAATCACTAATCTACTTTCTGTCTCTATACATTTGCCTTTTATGGCATTTCATATAAATGGAATCATTCAATATGTTGTCTCTTGTGTTTGTCTTCTTTCATTTAACTTGTTTTTGAGGTTCATCTAAGTTACAGCACATATAAGTAATTTGTTTCTGTTACTAAATAATATTTCCTTGTGGGGATATATCACAATTTATCTATCTGTTCACCAGTTAAAGGACATTCAACTGTTTCCAATTTTTAGCAATTATTAGTAATGCTGCTAAGAACATTTGTGTTCAAATCTTTGTGTGACTATATATTCATTTCTCTTGGATAAATACCTAGGAGTGGAAGTTTTTATTTTATATTTTTAAATTTTCTTCTCCTTCAACAGGCTATTTCTTCTACAAGTTTCTCTTTTTCTTCCTGTTTGTTTACTTTGGTATCTATAGTTTATATTGGAAGCTTTCGTGATATAGCAGGGAATTTTTAATTGTCTTCTCTTATTAAAGAATAAGAGAATACTAAATTTATTGAAAGCTCTGAGTGAGTTACTTTTTATTGTTGAGTTCCACAGTGATCTAGCTGGATTACTGAATTAGACAATGTCCCACGTCTATATTTTTAGGGCCTTCCACTTGTCTTGATCAAATTCTCTAGGGAAGACCCTTCCAATTTGCTGTAGAAAGGTAAATCACACAGAATATAACTTTTTACTTAGCACTCAAAATTCAGTGTGGTACTCCTGGCCCTCACCTCTGTTCAAAGTCCCCCCCTCTGTCCACACACCAGCTCCATAGAATAAAACTTCAAAATTTGCCATTGTGGGTTGAAAGACAATAGCACAATTTTTCCAGCCATCAGACAAAATAAGGATCTGAGAGCTATATAAGCAAAAATACAAGACTCTTCACTTCCAATTACTGAATAAAGTTTTTACCTCCTGAAATCTGGTTTCTTCCTTGAATTCAAGTAAGAGGAAATTGGCATTTTGAGCAATGATGAATTATTTGATTTTCAAAACTTTATTTTTTGGAACCATCTAATATTTGAGAGTAATGGTGAAATGTCTAAGACATCTTTCATTTCATTAGATCCACTAAGCTCTTATTCTGTGTTTTTGTTTAATCAGCTAAAAATAATATTTCCTTCTTTACGCAAAACTCAGTATCTTTTCTGGGTCAAGATTTAATTGATGACCCCCTCTGTTTTTTGGTTTTTATCAAATATAAGGTTAATGTAAGGGATACCTACTTTAATGGTACTTTTGCATCTCGCAAAACTGTAACTGAAGGCAGATACTTATTCATCATCTTATCTAAAATCTCTAAATTAAAGGAGTACAGAATATACTCATCCTTTTAACGAGTAATCAGGAAAAATAAATCTTTCGTGAAATGAAATTTATCCTTTCATGTTTCATACCATAATAACTATATAAATCAACACAGTTCTATTTTTGCCTTATTTGCCACGAAAAATAAAAGAAGTTGGGCTTCAACTGTAGCATTCAGCATATGTTAGAAGTTGATCAATTTCTCTGCCTCTATTACTATATTTTGCTATAAAAAATGCTTGATTGTCCTATATTTACCTTTAATTATTTTTACCTCAATTCTTTACACAATAGGCAGGATATAAAATTTAAAATAAAATATATGTGCCCAAAGATGAATTGAATTGAACATAGGAAAACAGGACGTATTATCTTTATTTAACCCACTTTCTTTTTATCTTTCCTATGATATGTGTTTTTTATGCAAGCCAGAGGTTTGGGGATTCAAAAGCATTTTACTGAGATGATCTTTACTTGTGATGGGCAGCGTTGACCAATATGCAGTTCAATAGCCCCTGATGACAATAAAAATTCTCAGTTATTCTTTCCCTATCTACAATAAAAATAGCACACAGCAGAGTCTTTTAATAACATAAAATGACTAACGTGGATGTAGACTTGATTAAGGGCAGAAGTTACTGCATTGAAATTCACCAAGCTTGTATGTGAGATAAGAATGTGATAATACTATGCTGTATGAAAATCTTCTTTGTACTTACCACTGTCAAAAAGAAAAAAAAGGTTTGTCTAGACTGAATGTTCCCTCCCACCTGCTATCCAAAATTCATATGTGGAAATCTAATCCCCAATGTCTGGTATTCGGAAGTGGGGCTTTTGAAAGGTGATTAGGTCACAAGGGCTCCTTATAAAAGAGGCCTCAGAGAGATCCCTTGCCTTTCCTACCATGTGAGGACACAGTGAGAACATGGCCATCTGAGAACTAGGGAGCAAGCCCTCACGAAACACCTGAGGCTGGTGCTGTAATCTTTGGTTTTCCAACCTCCAGAACTGTGGGAATTACATTGACGTTGCTTATAACCCACCAGTCTGTGGTATTTTGTGATAATGCTTGATTGCTTAGGTGTGAAAACACTTGGTCTTTTAACCTTCCACCAAATAATAATTTTTAGATCCAGTAGTCTTAAAATTTTAGGCATATGTGGACAAACCATCTTACATTTTTAACTATCTGGTATGTGTCTCCATTTAGGCATTCCTGACTTTCTCTGATTTGGTCTCACTTTCTGTGGTGTGAACCACAGGGACCACAGCCAAAGAAAAACTTGCATTCAGCAGGAGAGATGACAACAAAGTTTCATTTAACACCCTTGAAGCTACAGTAAAACCATCAAAAACATCTCAGACAAACTGAACTATTTTCCGCTGGCCACTTAAGTAAGTGCCAAATTATAAATTTTGACAACACAAAACTAAAAATCTACTCCGTTACTCCTATACTTTTTATAAAGCTCTTATTTTCTATGTATGGATTTGTTGATTTAATCACCAAGTGATTTAATGATAATATAGACTACTGAAATACATATGACCGATCCGAGCCTCATAGTCACAGTAATTTTGCGCAAGACCAAAAAAAGAAATGGCTTCAAAAATTTTCTTAAAATTTATAATAACTGAAGTGTTTGAAGAAGAAAAATATTTCAATATAAATGATAATTTTTTTTTTTTTTTTTTGAGACAGAGTCTCACTTTGTTGTCCAGGCTAGAGTGAGTGCCGTGGCGTCAGCCTAGCTCACAGCAACCTCAAACTCCTGGGCTCGAGTGATCCTTCTGCCTCAGCCTCCCGAGTAGCTGGGACTACAGGCATGCGCCACTATGCCCGGCTAATTTTTTTTTATATATATATCAGTTGGCCAATTAATTTCTTTCTGTTTATAGTAGAGACGGGGTCTCGCTCTTGCTCAGGCTGGTTTTGAACTCCTGACCTTGAGCAATCCGCCCGCCTCGGCCTCCCAAGAGCTAGGATTACAGGCGTGAGCCACAGCGCCCGGCCTATAAATGATAATTTATATTAAATAAGTTTATAGATATTGATAGGATAGTGCATTTATCCAAAATCTTTATTTAATAAGAGATTCTGAGTTAAAAGATAATGTTTTGCTAAGGATATAAAACCTACTTAGAACCATATGAAGTGACCAAATCAAAATGTGAATATGTTTTCAGCTGCATGCAGTCATCAGAAATTATCTCTCCATTTTAATGGACCCTAGTGTGCTGTTAAATTTACTGAGATTTCCTTTGGGAAGGTCTGGCATGGCTGCTAGAGATTTCTTTTAGCTTAAGAGTGGTCTTCAATCTAGAGATTGAGAAATATGAATTTCAAAAATTACTTGGTTCTCTTTGTCTTGCTTCCTTCCAAATGCTAATATATGCAGTTGATGAATATATTAGAAATCTAGGTTGCTTGCCTTGAGAACTTTTCTTATGTGTTAGAACCTTAAGGTTATTTAAAATTAATCTGCTTCCTGACAATCTTCTAGAAATGGATAATCCTAGGTCTATAAAAGGCATCCAAAGTCCAATGTCCATAAACTACAACAGCCCCTTAGCCAACAATATTTTGTGAAATTCTGATATAGTTTTCAAAAACAAATAGTTGACAAGATTTTTGTTTCTGAGATTCAACACTGTGTATTCAGATAGCATTCTTTTTTATTTTCTATGACATTTTTTTAGAAATAAATTTTCAAATTTATGAATGATCATATTCAACAGATTAAACATCCAAATAGGAATATTTTGATATTTCCAAACCTCAGATGTAGTAAGTTTCTGGGATTCGGTCCTGAAGATTCCAATGGGAACATCTCCAGTGGAAGAACACAACTTCTGATAAAGTCTGGCATAAGTTCTGATCCATAAGTCATCTTCAGTGATTTTCATCTATAATACATATAAATTATTTACATATTAGATGTTTAAGAATTAAAAACCCAGTGGGTATTTTCCACTTCTTAAAGGTAGAATTATTAATATTTTAAAATCTCAAAGTAATATTTCATAAATACTTATCTGTATATTAAATATATTTATAGTACTCTACCTTAGCTTACCCTGGGAGGTTCACCCAAACTTGAGAAATCTAAGTATTCAGTTTGGGGCAGTATGATATTATATTAGTTCAGTATCAATAGGCAATAGAGCACTGGCAATTGGCTTAGAGATACAAACCATATGGAGACTTTTTTGAATGTTGCAATAACTGGAGTCTGCCACTGGTATTTAGTGGATAGGGTCTGCTTATGCTATAAAATGTAAAATGTAAAAATTACTGCAGTACAAAAAAGCCTTGTTAAACTCAATGTTCTATTAACATCCATAATGACAAAGACGTGTGGTAGAAAAATCACAGGGCTAACAGAGAAGAAACATGAGTTCTAGTACCTTTTTGCTACTTGTAAATCTGCACTGTTGTTAGTAAGTCACTTCATTTAATATACTTGGACACACTTATACTCATCTATAAAACAAAGGGGTTAAACTACATGATCACTGTTTTCCCAGACCATGTGGTAACCTGCGTCTGAACCTGTCAGTCTCAAATTGTCAATTAGGGAAACAAACAAACAACAAAAAAAAAAACCTTCATTCTGAATTTTATGTGGAATGGCTATTTTTATGATTATTAATTAAAAATAATATATTTCCCTGAAAATTTTTAAGGAATTTAAAAAACTTGATGCAACTCTTTGGACATACATTAGAAAACAATAATATAGTACACAGAAGAGTTAGCCAAAGACCTGGTAGATGAATTTCAAAACCTTCTATCAGAGCAATCTTCTATTCTAGAAGTTAACTTACAGAACAAAGAAACCCTGATCCTGGTGTAGTGTCCAGTCCCAACAGAAGTCTGGTGATTGAAATCATATAATCCTTCACAAATGACTGCAATATAAACAAAATATGTGTTTATTATGTGTATGAGATGTATAGAACAGCTAAGATTGGGAACAGCTAACCACTTTTAAAAGATACTTCTTATAACACATCATTAGTCTCCATATAAAAAATAACAAAAGTCTATCTTCTCAGTGTCCTAAATAAACACATAGAGTTAAGCTTTTCATCAAGAACTATAGGAAATAATTATTATCCAGAAATATCTTGCTATGCTCACATTTTATGTGTGCTATTAGGCATATAGAAACATTTTTAGAATGTTTAGTAACAAAAAAGTTATAAACAAAATGGTAATATAAAAACTAGAAAGAATTAAAATTAATTTGCAATGAAAAATTTCAATCTGTTTTTTAGGACTAAGCTCTATGGTAGTAAAATACATTTCTAACCTATATTTATCCTTCATTATTGCATATATTCTCTTTCCACACCATTCCATGCTAAAATAGAGTATTTTTTAAAGAAATCTGAATTATTACATTTCCCTGGGGTAAAAGTGCATCTCTAATGTTGGAAATTTCGAAAGCTAGAACAGTCTTTATAGACACATAGATCATTTCTTTAGTAAAAAGTTAAAGAAAGGGTGGTTGAAAATCATTCCCAGTGTTTCAAAAACCATGAACAACCTATGAAAAGTCCCACTGAAGAGAAATTATTCTCGAGATTTTACTAATTCTGTCATTCTCTAGTTAAATGCTTTTCAAACAAGTCACAAAATAGAGTTATAGGTTATGGCCAGCAAATTTTTAAATAAAATAGGAAATCATTCAATAAGATAGAAAATAACATAGCAGATTATAAGCAGAAAGGGAAAGTTTTTTTTGTTTCAGTTATACACACACGTATGTATTGGATGGAGATCCAAAATGTAATATTTACTCTGCTACATTTAAGACTTTAAAAACCATAGTTCTAGTTTATACTTTCTGCAGAAACTTCAGAAAACACCAAATTTCCTTTTTCTATTTATAACATAAAATGTGAGGGAAAAATGAAGTGAAAGAAAAAAACTACCGCTTTCTACTTCTACAAAATAGTTTTCCTTCTATTTAACTTATACATTAGACTTCTTTATATGATTTTATTTAGACATGGGATAGGGTGACTAAAAAATATCCCTGGTGCATAATAATGCCCAAGCATTTGGATGGTGCTTGAAGTGCAAGCCCTGACTCCTAGAGAGTACCCAGATGATACTGTGTCTGGAAACTCTAGGGAAAATAGGAGTATTTATTTCCTGTGTTGTGTTTGCTCAGGAACTCAACCGACATAAGCAGATGGTTCCTGACATTGCTAGAGCCATACTCGTGGGCACAACTAGCCCAAAGGTCAGCAGAAAAGCTTTTACTATCTTTGGATTAGTTTGTTCAGTCAAGCAATTATAGAAGGTACATACATAAATAATCCAAAAAAATAGGCACAACAAAATGCTTTAATGCTTAATTGGAGATTAATGTTATCAAATAATTTAAAACCCTGTGAATATCTTTTTCCTTTTAATGGAACCATTTAAAGATTGTATGTTAATGTGAAATATTACTGAAATAATGCTCAGTTTCTGGCAGAGACAAAAAAGATTATAATAAATTTGTGTGAAAAAACATCTCCATGAATTTCTTAGCTGTGAGAAAATGAAAAGGTTAACTTGGAATTCAGGAAAAAATTAAATGGTTCTTAGTTGTTGTAAAATTGTTTTTATATTTTTCTGAAGAAGGCAATGATTGACAGATGCTTAAATTGTCCTTGGTTTATCATTTAGCAATATCAATTTGATGTTTTATTTCAAATCTGAAAAAAGTGTGCATTACAAAGAATGCTGTCTTTTTTCCTAACTTAGTAACTTTTTCTTATTTTTTTTTGATCCAGTAATATGCTTAGAATAATATACAAAATGTATTAAAATGTCACAATAAACATTACAGGGCATTGGCAAAGAATGCCTAAAAATAATGTCGATAGATTATTTTTTAAATAATATTTTCTTATAAAATGTTTCACAGGAGCACTTGTCATTAAATACATGAAATAAAACATCCAATTACTTCCAGAGCCAATTTTAATTTAACAGCTCCATGAGAAACACTAGATTATTCATTTAAATAAAATCTAAATATAAAATAACCGTTTCAGAGAGACATAAGGAAATATTGCATACCTGATATAGAAGAGTGTCCAACATGCTGATGCTAAATACCCTCCCAGCAGCAAAAGGCAGTCGAAACATAAAGGCCAAATTAGAACCTCTCTCCCTTTCTTTCTGTTCAAAAATTTGAGATAGAAATGTTTGTGAGTATTCTATATTTTATGCATTTCTGCCTATGTAAATTTTGTTGACATATATGAAAAAAAGCATTCTCATAAAATGGTTCTTAGCTATAAATGTGTCTTTATATCCCTTATAGTTGCATTTTTAAAATGTCGCTTTAATTTTTCTAAACAAATTTTCTCAATTAACACACTCAAGAGTTAAGAAGAGTTAATCTTTTCAAATATTAAACACTCTTCACATAAGATGTGACATCATAAAAGGAACAAAATCCTTTAATCAGAGGTAAAAAAACTAAAGTCACATAACGTATCACAACACTTAGAAAAAAGAAGATTTGCCTTTAAATATTCTTATATGTGAGAACAAAAAATTAGGCAGGAAGGATCCTGCTGTGGTCTGAATGTTTGTGTTCCTCCAAAATTTATATGTGAAATCCTAACCCTTCAAGGTGATGGTGTTAGGAGGTGAAGACTTTGGGAGGTGATAGGTCATGGAGGTGGAGCCTCACGAGTGGCCTAAGTGCCTTTATAAAAAAGAGAGACGCCCTTACCCCTTCCACCACGTGCCGTCTGTGAACTAGGAAACCGGCCCTCACTCAGACACCAAATCTGCGAATGCCTTGATGTTGGAATCCCCAGCGTTCAGAACTGTGAGAAATCAACATCTATTTTTTTTTTTTTTTGATACAAAGTCCCATTCTGTTGTCCGGAGCGCCAGCCTAGCTCACAGCGACCTCAAACTCCTGGGCTCAAGCAATCCTGCTGCCTCAGCCTCCCGAGTAGCTGGGACTACAGACATGCGCCACCATGCCCGGCTAGTTTTTTCTATATATTTTTAGTTGGCCAATTAAATTCATTCTATTTTTAGTAGAGACGGGGTCTTGCTCCTGCTCAGGCTGGTTTCGAACTCCGGACCTCACGTGATCCTCCTGCCTCAGCCTCCCAGAGTGCTAGAATTACAGGTGTGAGCCACCGTGCCTGGCCAACATCTAATGTTTATAAATCACCCAGTTTATGGTACTTTGTTGTGGCAGCCTGAACAGACTAATACGGGCCTATCACCTCCAGCAGTCTCTAGCTTTCCATCATCTTAGTTTTGTTTCTCCATCTTGCTCTTAAATTGTGTTATACACCAATTTTCAGCTAAGTTTCTGGAAATTACAAGAAAGAAAATTATGTTTATGTGTATTTTAGTGTGTGTGGGGGAAGTGTTGTGACGTACTTTCTTTTAAAAAAATTCTGTTGTTTTTATCTTCCTTGAATAAATGAAGGCACAAGAGCAAATGTCAAATTCGTTTGGAATGAGTTTCTTAAGAATGTAAGTTAACCCTTGTACTTAACAAATGGTAACTTCAAAATTTCTTGCTTCTTCTGTTGCTAACTTTCCTTTATTAGGAAAGACATATACAGCTAAGCAAATAAGAAATTAACCCTCACTTCTTGGGGCAACAGAAACAAGCCTCAGTTTCCAATGAGGCAAATTTGAAATGTCTCAAGGAAAGGGAAGCCTCCCATCCTCCCATGCACTGGTTGGTGTCTAAGTAGTGGAGAAGATTGCCCACTTTGTAAGAGTGACCTCACTTGAGATCTAGGGAGAAAGCAAGGGGGAGATAGGCAAGTGGTGCCCCATTTTTTGTATGTCCATTCATCATAATATATTCTGGAATTTATTAGTCTAGGTGTTAAGGGTGCTTAATTTGAGCAGCTCATGTAGGTAAGTTGGAGATGATTTGATCTAGCTGTTTTTATTGATGGATAGATAGGTTTTCTTGTGCATTTGGCGGCAAATTTAGTTCTTAAGATGTAACAAGCACCCTGGAAAAGAGAAAGCCATGGTATGTGATCTGAAGTTAAAGTGAGTAGTCAGAATAAAATACCAGGACCCCTGAGAATTTGATGTTCAGGATCTGCCATAGTGTGGGCCAGATGGGAAATAGCAAGATTGTTGGAGATGTCACATTGTTTATTCAGTATTCTTTTCTGGGGCCTTTGATGGGTGAACTCTACTATGGGACTGGGATCTTCTAAGCCAAGGACTATCTTCCTTCTTTATTGTTTTATTCCTCTAACTAACTAGGGAAATAGGACACATGGCAAAGTATATTTTTATGGTTTGCATTGTGTCTTATCCCTTAGTTTTTTAACATTTGTTCTCTTTAACGTCAGATTTAGCTATGGTAGAATTAAACAGAGCACAAATCTGTTCATATTTGGACCAAGAAATTAATGGTGCTTTGGTGTTGGCAGTGAGACGACACAGGTGAGTGCTGCAGTGGTGATTATGCATGTGTGATGGGGCGCGGCACGGCAAGCACAGAGGGAGATCCAGAGGAGCTAAAGACACTGAGCAGATTTCAACGTGTACAGGAAGACAAGGTATTAAACATTGTTAAATATAACATGTTAATAAAATAAGACAAATACTGAGAAAAGCCATGATTTTGTAATTAAAACGTGATTCCAATCCTAGTCTTCTCTCTACTCTCTCATTGTGTAACCATCTAGTTCTGGGCTTTTTTTTGTTTGTCTGTTTCTTTTGGTTTTTTTGAGACAAAGTCTCGCTTTGTTGCCCAGGCTAGAGTGAGTGCCTTGGCGTCAGCCTAGCTCACAGCAACCTCAAACTCCTGGGCTCAAGCAATCCTTCTGCCTCAGCCTCCCGAGTAGCTGGGACTACAGGCATGCGCCACCATGCCCGGCTAATTTTTTTCTATATACATTAGTTGGCCAATTAATTTCTTTCTATTTATAGTAGAGATGGGGTCCCGCTCTTGCTGAGGCTGGTTTCGAACTCCTGACCTCGAGCAATCCGCCCGCCTCGGCCTCCCAGAGTGCTAGGATTACAGGCGTGAGCCACCATGCCTGGCCTAGTCCTGGGCTTTAAATATTTCATCTCAGACTTCAAAACCCATATGTTAGTTTTCACATCTTTCCCAAACTCCATTTATTAAGTATCCATCTGAGTACCGCTCTGTAAACTTAATCTCATGCTTTACCAATTCTCCAGAATTCTCCGTTTTTGCTGAATAATCTTCTGACTAGCAAATCAGGGTCAAAACTTACTAACTAATTGATCAAAGCATCTTTGACCCACTTCCTGCCTAGTCCATCCTCAAAATTTCCAAATTCTATCACTAATCCATACAATTATCTTATAACTCCCTCTTCTACATCCTATTGCTACAACACTTGTCAGGACTTAAATCTCTTAATTTTCCAACCTCAAGTCGTTTGTCACTCCAAATCATCCCACATGATATCACCAATTAATCTTACTAACAATGCTGGTGATGTCATTTTTTTGTTCATAAACCTAAGTTCAGTTTATCCTATAATCAGACTATCCTAGACATGCCTGGAGAACACAGAAGCAAAACTTCTGTGAAGAAACAACATTTTTTTTCATGAAAAGAACTTGTCCCAAGAGTGTGTTGGCAAACAAGCTTGAACCTATGACAAGCCCAGTGTATCAGGGTGGGTGGTCTTTGGTGATAGTGGTTTCTTTCATTCACATTACCCATGTTCTACAATTTTCTGACTGAGGAGGTATTAATACATTTCCTAAATCCAGTCAGTTGCCCTCTAACTTTAATAAAGAATTAACTAATATTTAAAATGTTTTCTTTTATTATCCACCTACATTCACATGATACTTAAGTTCAATAGCTTTACACAGCACATCTACTCTTCCAAAGGGGGGGAAAACACTCTTTAGTTCAATAACATTACCAATTCACACGCTATATTTTCTGATACAGAACTATTTTTTACCTACTGTGCTTACCCTGTAGTAAATGAACTTTCTTCCAAGCGCTACACATCTGAATCCTACTAATAGTATCATTTTAAATAGAAACACTCATTAAAATTAATTCCATCCACTTTTAAAGACCTCAAGCACCAATGTATTCATTTATGTATGAATTTAGTCACTTAAAAAAATATGTGTTGACAACCTACTTCCTGTAGGGCATTACCCTTAGTGCTAGAAATACAGAGTTCCTATATAGAACTAATAAATTCTTACTAGTTAATAGAATTACTTTGTGTTGAATATGGGCCAGGAGCTAGTAAACAGATGTGGATACTTTCCTTGCCTTCAAGAACTCATAAAATTGTGAGTGGCACCAATAGCAAAATAGGCAAAAACACTAGGGTGAGCAAATGTAATAATGATAGAGCAATAGATTGGAAGGGCACCTAGCTTATTCTTTTGGTAGAAAATCTAAGAGCTGAATTAGAAGTGATGTCTAAGTTGAGACCTAAAATTGAGTAGAAAAATTAGCCCGTAATTTTGGGAAGAGTGAGTGGTAAGTAGAAAGCTATAAGCAGAAGGCCCAGGGTATTCTAGAACCTGGAAGTGGACAAACAGCTTGAGAGAGATGAAGAACTATAAACAATTCTGTTTGACTATAGATAGCACAGAGGGTGAGATTATGGGCTGGATGGACAGGTTAGAAATGAGATTGGGGCAGTAACCATGGACTGGAGCATAGAGTACCAGGATTTTAGAGGAAAGGGGATGCAATTAAGAATTATACTGGAAAATATCATATAAATTGAGACTATCCCAGGAATAACAAGAGATATAGTCACACCACTTTGAAAGCATGTTAAGTATTTTGAATTCCACCTGAAGGGCAATGGGAAAAAGCGGAAGTATTTTTAAGAGAAGGAGTTACATGATCAGGTTTTTAGAATGCTCACTTTGATGACAATATGAAAAATGGATTATGCATAGGGATGTGGCATGCGAAAACTGAGCAAGACAAACTAGGGCGTTAATGTATCAATCCTTGTGATTTTTTTTTTTTTTTTTTTTGAGACAGAGTCTCGCTTTGTTGCCTAGGCTAGAGTGAGTGCGGTGGCGTCAGCCTAGCTCACAGCAACCTCAAACTCCTGGGCTCAAGCAATCCTTCTGCCTCAGCCTCCCAAGTAGCTGGGACTACAGGCATGCGACCCCATGCCCGGCTAATTTTTTCTATATATATT